TTTCTTTCTTTCTTTCTTTCTTTCTTTCTTTCTTTCTTTCTTTCTTTTTCTTTTTTCCTTCATTCTTCTTTCCTTTCTTTCTCTTTTCTTTTTTCTTTCCCTCCTTTTAGCTTTTTTTTTTTTGCTACACCCCATTCATCTTAACCAGGAGAAAGGGGGAAAGAAAAAGGAAAAAAAGAGGAGAGCTAAAAAGAAACTTTTCAAGTAGGGCCCTTTACCATAGGATTCTGGATTAAGTAAGGAAAACCACATTTATCCTAGATTAATTATTCTGAAGCTTTTCCAGCGGTCTTTTCAAGGCTGCCTGAGAACAGACCAGAGCCTATGGGGGAAAGAAACCAGCTTTTTAAAGAAAGTTGAAGAGGGTGTACAAAGAGGGTTTGCAAAGGATAGTTGAGGGAGGAAAAGGGCTCTGGGGCAGCAAGTATGTCTGTCTGTCTGCCTGCTTCTCTCTCGGTATTTTTATGAGTTCCTACCAAACCCAGAGCATGTTTGTTAGTATTTTTAGCTTTCAACACATGTATTGTGTGTAACTATGTCTTTTTATGTGCAAATTGCATTATATATACATATATATCATCACATCAATATGTGCTTACACATGGATGTGTTTGTTTATTTGGCTGCCTGGAAATAAATGTGGTCCCCATGTTCTTCATACACCTTTCAAGAACTTCAGTTTCTGGATAAGAACTAAAGAAATGTGAGTGAACTTTAGACTTAAAGTTGGGCTTGCCCACACTGGCACACACAGCCCTAAACACTGCTCTTTTACTGTAGGCCAGTAGCTTGACGGGAAGAGGTCCAGAATGACTGGAGAGGGTCCCAAGAAGAGATGAGGGAATTGTTGCCAGCTTTCTCCCTCTAAGTTAAATAGTCATTCATATTCCTACTTCCCTCTAACCGCCAGTTCCCACCTTAGGGTAGAAGGGGCAGAGTGTCTTCCAATGTTTCCCTAAATTCTGTCTTCTTTATTGCTTCCCTTCTCCCCGAAAGCCGGTGCGTGTTCGTGGGGTTGTGAGGCCAAAGTAAACCCAGGAGCGCCATCTGCAGGTTTTCTGTGGTAGAGACTGACCCTGGACTTTGCCCCTGAAACCTCAGGGCCAAGATAGCCTTCTCTTCCTTAGGAGGTGACTGGAGTTGGGTGGACGTTGGGGAAGGCAGACGCTTTCATCCTAGAACTTTCCCAGAGTTTGGAGAGGGCCAACTTAGAGGAAAGATCGAATATCAAGCTGTGTGTGGGATCCAGAGGGAGAAAAATATTGGGAATCTCCTTGTGGAAACAAAAAAGCAGGCCTATGACCTGAGTCAGTCTGGTCTCCACTCAGTCATATGGGAGTTGCCACTGATTGCAGTACCCACGGGAGAAACAGGGTGGGGTCTTCTGGGTGACTGCCCCAGTGCCCAGAACTTTTTCAGTCAGGTTGTTCTTAGGCAGACGCGGTGGGGACTGCTGCCCAACCCCGTAGCCCCACTCAGAGGCAGAGGGAAATCCCACAGTGGACCTCTGTAGAATCTGCCCTTTTGGAGACCTAAAGGAATGGGGGGAGGGAGAGAACGAGAGAGAGTTAAAACATCAGCTGAAGTGCCGAGATGATTTATGAGACGGGGGGAAGTATTTCATAAAGATCTCTCAGATATTCTGTACTTAACCAGTTAGGAGACAAAGGGGCCTCTGCTGCCTAGCGCGGCTGAAATAGACCCGAGCACAAACGAGGCTGGGGAGAGATTGCTGCGAAGCCAAGGAGGTGCTGTTTTTATTCCGGTGTGCTCGGCTTTGCTGCAGTGGCTGCTCCCGAGCTCCGGAAAAGAGACTGTACAGAGCGCCGCTTGCCTTGCTTCACGGCGGGCACGTCACTCCATCCGGGGAGAGTTAGTTATCCCCCGCTTCTTGGACTGCCAGCTCCGCACAGCAACCCACATTCTTCCAAAACCCGCTCCCTTAGAAACAGAAATGCAGGCGGAGCCGAGAGAAACTTAATGTTTTCTTGTCTTTGATTTGGGTCACACTGAGGCAGTTTACCCGAGGTGGCCAGTCCTGATCTGATCTAAGTCTTTGGGCTGGCAGAGATGGAGAGAAGTAATCATGGGGACAGGGGAGAGAAATACCTAGCGTGGGAGCAGTCCCAGCACAGCTGTGAGTAGTTGAGTCTAGAACTGTCTGATCGCTGCTCTGGGGGTGGCAGCTCAGGGACCAAGGAGGTAAGGGACAGAACGAGTCTCGCAAATGGCCAGAGGTGCATCAATTGGGCTTTCTAATCTGGAGGTTGTGAAAGCAAGTTGAAGGGGGTAGAAAACAAGGTAGAGAGAGAAATACGGAGAGAAAAGGAAGGAAGGAAGGAAGGAAGGAAGGAAGGAAGGAAGGAAGGAAGGAAGGAAGGAAGGAAGGAAGGAAAAAAGAGAGAGAAGTAAAGAAGGGACTGGCGGTGCTGTAGCCTAAGGAGAAAGGAGCCAGCAGCCGCACTAACAACACTCACTGCCTGTTGGAGAGGCCGGGACTCGGGACTCGATGAGTTGGGAACGTAGGTCCGGAAGAGCTGAGCGCAGTGCGCTTCACAACCCCTCCGCTGTTGCCTGAATATTCATTAGCCCTGTCCCCTCTTTATCCTTATCTAACGTTTATCTTATCGGCGAGTTTCGTTTCTCTCTGTAGTTTTAATCCTCGGCTCCCCCAGTTCTCACCACTACTCCCCCCCCCCACTCGGCACCCCTCCCTCCCTTCCTCTATCCCTCCCTCCTTCCTCCCTCCCGCTCTCTCTCTGCCCTCCCCTCCCCTCTCCTCGCCTCCCCTCACCGCCGCCGCCGCCGCCGCCGCCGGAGTGACAGGCGCGGGGCCCTCCTCGCCCAGGCTCGGGGCTCCGGCGCTGGCGAATCACAGAGTGGTGGAATCTATTGCCTTTGTCTGACAAGTCATCCATCTCCTGGCGTGGGGAGGGGGAGGGAGATCTGGAAGGGGCTTTGCAGCTTTTAGAGAGACACACACCGGGAGCTGAGGCTTCAGACTTGGGCCAAGCCTCTTCGCAGCCGCATCCCACCTGGGGACAGGGCTGCGGACACCGGCTCTGGCTCCAGCTCCAGCTTCGCTCCCAGCAGCTACGAGCGTGCGCCTGCCTTTTTTTTTTTTTCCTGGGGGGGGGGGGGGCCGCCCCCCCCCCCTCCCTTCCCTCAGGCGCTCGGACATCCCGGGGATTGCTACTTCTCTGCCAACTTCACCAACTCCCGGGACTTGAAGCGGCTCCACTCCCCGGCCCGCGCACTTGGGCCACCTGGCCTCCCCCACCCTGAGCCCTCTACAACTGCAGTCTCTCCAAATGACTGGGTTTGGGGCGATCTGAGCACAGCCCCCCCCCAACTGCCTCAGCCACCGCCGCCGCACTGGCCATGACACCCCTGTGCCCCCCGGCCGGCGTCCCTGCCCCGGGGGCACTCTGCTGAACGGTCAGTCCCCTGCCCCGACAGCCCGCGCAGAAACGGAAAGTTGTGGCGAGCGCTGCGGCGGCGGCTGCTGCAGGTCGGGGCAGAGGCGTCCTCTCTGCCGAGTGTAGCAGCCCCTAGTCCCCCTCCCTCTCCCCCGCCCCCCCCCCCGCGTGGGGCCCCCCCCCCCACTTCTCTTGGCTGACCCGCGGCAGATCGGCCCGTTCTCGCCTCTCCACCGTCCCTCCCTTTTTTCCCTCAAGTCCTGAAGTTGAGTTTGCGAGGCGACACGGCGGCGGCGGCCGCGCTGCTCCCGCTCCTCTGCCTCCCCATGGATATGCACTGCAAAGCAGACCCCTTCTCCGCGATGCACCGTGAGTACCGGCGCCCAGCTCCTGCTCCCCTTCCACACTCCCCGCGGCTCGGGATCGCCCCCGCCCCCACCCATACCCCACCCCCACTAGCTTCCCTTTACCTGCCCCCCCTCCTTTCCCTTCCCCTTTGGAGCCTCTCCGGCCGCGCTCCCCTTTTCCTTGTCCCTTTGCCGTTTTCTCCCTTTTTAAAAAAAATCTTCCTTATGTCTTCTCTCCATCTGTCCTCGTTTCTCTCCTCCTTTAACCTCTCCCTGCTCTTTTCATCCTCCCATCCCCTGCGCCCCTCTACAGCTACACCCCACCCCTTCCACCTGCTCCTTTCGAAGGCGGACGGGTCTGCCCTAGTCCTCTCTTCCTTATCTAGCCTGGCTTTCTGCCGCTACCACTCCCTCGGGCGACCCCTTTCTGCTCCGGTAGCCGAGGGAGGGGAACTGGGGCAGGGCATCCTTCCGTTTCTTTCTTTCTCTCTGTGGAGTCCCGGACTTCAGGGAGACTCAGGAGGGACCCCTGGCGCAAGGAGCAACAGTGAAAGGGCAAAGCCCTAATCCGAGGTGAATCCGCCTGCGGGTGGCCCCTTCCCATCATTGCACCCACAGCTCAGGGCTCGCCAACCCTAGCCTGAGCTTTTCTTGCTTGTTTGTTTTAAACATTCCCCTTCCCTTCCTTCCCTTCATTTTCTTTTCTCCCCTGTTCTTCTCTTTTTCTTCCTTTCCTTTGCTTTCTCTTCCTTTTCCTCCCTCCTTCCTTCTTGTTCCTTCCTTTCTCTTCCTTTCCTTCTCTTCCCTTCACCGTCTCTTCTTTTCTCCCTTTCTCTTGTCCTGTCCGTTTGGATTTTGAAGGGGGAGGCGTAAATGTCTTGTTAATCCCTCCTGGGAGCTGCTCTAAAAACAAAGAGGGTTTCTGAGGGAAATTGCGGATCGGCTCTAGAAAGAGCAGAGCCCTCTCCGGGCCGCGGAGCAAAAGGGCAAAAGCCGAAAGCCCAGATACCTGGGCAGTTCTGACCGAGTCTTTCTGCAGTCTCTGGGTAAAGCAGGGAGTGACAGAAGGAAGGAGGGAAAGAAAAGAAAATTATGGGAAAAGAACAAAAGGATAGCAAATGACAAATGAAAGGAAATTTCTAATGCATGTGAAGAAACGAAAAATTAGAAAAGGAGAAGGGGGATGAGAAAAGAAAGACCAGGAAAATAAGAGATAGAAAATAAAGAATAAGGAGAGAAAAGAAGGAAGAAAAATATTTTAATACAATCCAAATTCTTATTCCTCTTCAGCTTGGAAAACAATTGAAATAATTTTGTGAGTGAATGTCTTAAGAGAAGAAATATTTCAGATTGAAAACTCATTCCCTCAGGAGCTTAATAATTAAGGATAATTTGCAACTTTTCACAGGGAAACTTTTTAGACCTGGCTTGGTTCTGTACCAAGGATAATTGAACAGAAGGGATAGCCGATTTCTCTAAATAGACATTTAAACTTTAACAGATTTAGACAAAGCCTACGAAATAAAACATTTTCTTGCCTCCTTCCCAATAATTACAAGTTAAATTAAGTCCGGAGCTCCGAGTCTGTGGACAGCCCCAGCTTTCTCTGGGCCCAGGCGGTAAAACTGTGCCCCTTTGGGAAGCTCATAGAAGTCTAGCCCCCTAACCCTCTCCGGCTGGCGGCTCGCTCGCCTGCTCTCCGGCTCGCCCGGGTGGCTGCGGTTTCTTGAGTTTCACGGCTTGCTCGCGCAGGAACAAGCAGTGGCCACTGACACGGCTTTCAAAACCAGAGGAAGGGATGCAGGAACTGGGGATCGAGGTGGAGTAGGGGTAGCGAAGGACAAGCGAGAGCAGAGGGCAATGCAGCGCTGGGCTTGCCAGCCGGAGTCGGAGCTGGAACCTGTGCGGGAGCGGGAGCGGGAGCAGGCTCGAGCTCGGGCTCGGGCTTCAGAGCGGCCCGCGGCCCCGCTCTCCTCCTGCCCGGCTCCCCCGAGCTCACAGCTAGTCTAGGTCTCAGCTAGATAGCTCCGGTCTCCCATTCTCTCCTTTCCCACACCCCAGCACCCCTCAGATTGGGCCAGAGGGGCCAGGCCGGGCCCAAAGCCCGGGCAGGCTGAATTATTCATCTCTAATCTGCCCGCAGCTGCCGCCTTTTCAAGCCGGTAACGCGAGTTCTCTCGGGGCCTGAATTATTGATGGTCTAGGTTGGAGTGGGTGTGGTGGTGGTGGTGGGGATAGAATCGGAGCTGGGCCCTTGTAGATGGAGAAGGTTGGAGAGGGCAGAGCCCCACTTCCTCTCCATTCCATTCTAGGGAGTTAGGAGCGAGCGGCCTTCTCTCTCCAGGGAGAAGCCCAGGCTCATGCCCTTCCTTGCTCATCCGGACAGGTGGACGGGGCAGCGCCTGAGTAGTTGGAGGATTGGGGTCGGGGAGGGAGTGGGAAACAGACTGGGAGGCGCAGATATGCCTGCTTTCCCCGAAAAACTTCTCTATTTTAGGGCAGTGAGTTCTTCAAGTTGTCAGCCGCTCCAGACTCCAGTGTCTAGGACTGCAGCTGTATGAATCCTTAGCCAAGGCCTGTCTCGCCAAGGCTGGCTTCTTAGCTCTGATTTGTTTATTTCCAGGAGGAGATGCAGGCCAGGGAAGGGGCTTGGAAGTGAAGGACTCAGTGCCCGCTATGGCCGCTACCTTCTCCCTTCCCCCAACCTTCAGTCTGGGTCAGGTACCCCGGCCGCAGTTTGAATATGTGTGACTGTAGGTAACTGGGATTGAAATATCATCCTTCCTCTCTTCCCAGGGAGGGATAGTCCCTTCATATTAATGCCCCCGCCACCTACCAGTGGCCTCTCTCCTCTTCTGTTTGAGCCAAATGATTTGTGAGCCAGGCCTCCGCGGGCCGCGCAGGGCGTTTTCTCTGATCCTTTGCCCTTTCCCAGACCAGACTGTTATTTCAGCAGGAACAGCCGGGTTCGTGGGGACATAGTTTTTTTTTCCTGGGGTGGAAGAGCAAGGCTAGGCTACTCTGGGGGGGCAGACTGGACAGAGTTTAACAGCCCCGGAGCCCCTGCCTGTACCTCTCCCTGGTTTTATTTTGTTTTGTTTTGATTTTTCTTTCCTCTATTTCTTGCACTTCATCTCCCCTTGAAACAAAGAGGACAAAGAATCACTAAGTGAGGGAAAAAAATAAAAGAAATAAAGAAGTAAGAGAGAAAAGAATGGAAAGAAAAATAACGAGGAAAAATTAGGGAAATGGAAAAAGAGGAAAGGATAAGAGCTACACAGCCCGGGGAAAGCGTTGGGTTTAGCGAGAGACTGCCGCACCACTGCTCAGCGAGTTTTCCTGCTTATTCTCCACATGAACCTAAGTAGCCTTGGATCACAGACCCCTATTCCCTAAGGTCTGGGGCTCTGACCTCAGAAAGATTAGCCTTCCTCCCCCTTACTTCCCCCTAAAAAACTTCTCCTCTTCTTAGCACAGAAGAAATTAGTCTCTTCCTTGTCCCGACTGTGATCCTGAAAACACACGTCTCTGCCGTCTCTTTCCTTCCTTCCCCTCCCTACCTTTTTCACGTCTCTCTACTCGTGCCATTTCCTCTCTCCTTTTCTCTCCCTGTCACTGTTCTCCCCCCCCTCCCCGCTGGTCCTCTGGTCCTCTTCTTCGATGTCCTAGGAACATCATTCTGTTCTTTCCCTTACCTTCCTTACTCTCCACCTGTCTTCTCCTTTTGCTTCCCCTCTTCCCTTCTTCTTCCCCTTCCCATCCCATGTTCCTTCCCGATTTCTCCTTTCTCTGCCTTTTCCTTCCCCTCCGTTCCTCTCATTTTAATCTTTCAGCTTTTTAATTGTTTCATTTCTTTCATATTTATTTTATTTCCCCTCTCGTTCTTTTCCTTCTATCTCCTTTTTCTTCCTTTCGTCTTTTCTTTTTCTTACACTCTCTCTTTCAAGCCTCCTCTCTTCCTTTTTTGTCTTACCTTCCTTGGAACCACATTTCCCTCTGTATGACTTCGCCCTCTGTATTTTTTCTTTCTCCTTCCCTGTTTACCTCTTACTTGATTCTTCTTCTCTCCCCTTTCCCTTTTCATTCATTTCCTCCTCTATCCCCTCACCCATTTCTTAGTTCCTCCCGCTCCCTCTCCCCTTTCCTCAGCTTTTTCTCTCAGTCCGGGTTCAGAATCTAGTTCCTTCGGTCTCGCGCTAGCTCCCAGCACCCCTCGTCCTCCCACTCCCACCGTCGGGTCTGGCCTGCCTGCTGTCCCTGACTAACGGCCTGTCTCTGTTGTGTGTGGGGCGTTGTGTTTTTTCTTCTCTCTCCCCAGCAGGGCACGGGGGTGTCAACCAGCTCGGGGGGGTGTTTGTGAATGGACGGCCCCTGCCAGATGTGGTGCGGCAGCGTATTGTGGAGCTCGCCCACCAGGGAGTCCGGCCTTGTGACATCTCTCGGCAGCTGCGGGTCAGCCACGGCTGCGTCAGCAAGATCCTGGGCAGGTAAGGGCTACCCTGAGCCCCGAGATGCTCAAAGCGATCTTTTGGAAGCCCCCCTCTTCCCCTTCCTTGCCTTTAGGCCGAGTTTTCTGGACAGAAAATTTTCCCCAAACGACAAGAAAACAGGTCTGGGAGTGGGTGACCCCTCCATCCTGCCCTGGGCCAAGTTCCACTCAAAGAGAGAAAGGTACTCTTGCGAAAGCTGCCCCTGGGGCCTTGACTCTCTTCCTCCGTGCCTGGGAAGGGTAGGAAAGTGGAACAGAAGGGAGAATGGGATGAGTGCAGCCCATGTCTGCACTTCAGGGACTCTACCGCCAGATCCCAAGCCTCCAAAAATGGGGGTGCTTATCCTGAGTGTCACCCTAAGGAAGAACAGAGGGAGGGGGCAAAAGCGGGTTCCTAAGGGGCAAAAAGCCCCGAAGTCCGGAGGAGTGCCCTGGTTGCAGCACTGGATTGCGGGGGTTCAGAGAGGGTATAGGGTAAAGGATTGCCTTCTAGCTCAGCGCTTTAAAATCAGAGGAATCGATGGGCAGAATCTCCCTTAGCTGGGCTCAGATATTATGGTCTCCTCCCGAATCTCTGCCTCCAGCCGTTTCCCCCAGAGAAAGGACGTGGAGGTCAGCTTCTTTTATCCCCTGGTCCAGCGTTTGCCTGCCCTCTTCCGAATCAAAGAGGCCCTTTTGGGGAGGTCTCCTAAATTCTCCCTCCTTTCCTAACTGTAGTGGACTCATGCTATTCCTGAGAATCAAAACGCCTTTTGACTTGATTCCTCTGATAGCACACTGAGGCTGCAGTGCCGCTAGGGTGCTACAGGGGTTTGGGTTTGGGGAGCCGCGGTGGGGAGAAGTCGAGAAGCTTGGAACTCTGACCTGTGGTCCCTGGGGGAAAACTACCCACTGCCTCCTGAGCTTGCTGGACTTCTCGACCACAGGTACTACGAAACGGGCAGCATCAAGCCCGGGGTGATCGGTGGCTCCAAGCCCAAGGTAGCTACACCCAAGGTAGTGGACAAGATCGCTGAATACAAGCGGCAAAACCCGACCATGTTCGCCTGGGAGATACGTGACCGACTGCTGGCCGAAGGCATCTGCGACAACGATACAGTGCCCAGCGTCTCTTCCATCAACAGGTGAGAGAGCGCCCCCGGCCGGCGGACCAGGGTCCCAGGTCACTACAGTGCTTTCGAGGGGCCAGGGTCAGGGCCAGGTGACTAGGGCACCTCCTAATATTTCCTTTCCTTCCTGAGTCAAATCAATCAGCTCTGCCCTATCTTCTAATCACGTCTAAGTTGGGACCCCTTCAGCCAGGTGGGACTCTGGCCAGGTGGTACCAAGGGTACGGAGAGGCCACTGTGGTGGTGGCAGATTGGGAGAGGGACATGGCTTCTCTTTAGCTTCCTGGCCTCAGCATCCCTGCTCGGCCTCTCTCGCTGTCCTGGAAATGAATCCAAGTGTTTGTGGTAATTAAGACTCCAAGACTTCGAGCCTCACTATCTAGAGACAATCACAACCCGTAGCCCGAGCCGTTAAAATGACCAGTGTCTATTCATTGCCTCTAAACAGACTTCCCTTTCTAGAGGAGAGTTCACTTTCCCCAGGGGCATCGGCCCCCCTACTCTGCCCAGGCCTAGCTCTGGCTCCCTCCTCCCTTCTCCCTCATCCCTCATCCCAGCCCCATCAGAACTGCTTCCAGAAGCTTTTTAGCCTTGCTAGCTAGGTCAAGAAAACATTCTTCCTCCCCAGGGGCTGGCAGAAAGAAACCACCAACCCACTAGACACAGTTTTCTTCAATCCTAAGTCCAGGACAAGCCACCCCTTAACAAGGAGGGAGAAAGCCAGGTTTCCCCTGTGACTCTTTAAGATATCTCCTGCTACTTTCATCTTCCTAATGGAATATTTAAAAGTCATCAGCAAATAAACACCTACAGTCTATTCCAATCATAGACTCTCCCCAACAAGTTGTATTTGGGTATTGGCATGACCCTTAGCCTAGATGCTGAAGGCTCATACCCTACTTTACCCATGTTTATAACCCACCCTATCATTCCCACGTGTCCCAAGGAGAGGCACCCACCAACACATTTATGATTGCAATCCTGCATTGTGATACTTATTTAGCCACTCATGCAGAGTACACATTGAGGTTCTCTCCTGTAAGTCAACCTATCCCCTCCCCACCCCCAAAGGGATCCCACTGGGAAAACACTTGTACACTAGCTCCATGTGCACCTGCTAGTGAATGGCTTACCTTATCTGGTGATGGAACCGGTGTGGACCACAAGTATAGTCTGAAACCAAGCCTGGCTGGGCCTAAGGTGATCACAAATCATATATACAAGTGTACAAACACAGGCAGCTAGAGGGAAGCCCACAGTAGGGTTAGCCAACATTTTAAAAGCTAAACAAACAAAAATTAAAAATGCAAACCTTTCAATGAAAGATACAGAAGGGAAAGGGTGTGTGTGTGTGTGTGTGTGTGTGTGTGTGTGTTGTGTGATTCTATACTGTTTTCCTTTGCATTCTTCAGCTATTAACAGAATAAGGCTAATAATTCAGATGGTGTTGATTTCTGAATCTGGCATCAGATATCAAGGGTTTTTAATATTTTGCAAATGATATGGAATTATCCCAAATCATCTTGAAAACAGCAGGTAGAATTAGCTGGTAGAATGTACCTTGGCTAAAGAAGATTCCCTCTGCCACTCTCAGGCTGTAACGTACTGCAAGGCGACCCCGGAAATTATCCCAGCGTGTGCCATCTGTATTAAAATGGTTATTCAGTTATGAACAGGGTAACATAATACTGATCAGCTAATTATACACCCTCCTAAACCCCTCCAGCTCCCTGGGTCTAGCTCAGCCAGGTATTGAAAGCATAGCCGTTTGACATTCAGACACCCTAGGAAGGAGCTCGGGAAGGCACAGGGGTGTTCCTGAAAGGGATAAGACTGTCATATCTCACAGTCCAGGAGAAGGATGGCTAAGGCCCTGGGGAAAGAGGCCTGGTTTTCAAAGCCAAGCTGAGTTGTAACCTCCCTCTGCTGGCTGTTCCTCCTGAGTGTAGGTCTGGGCTGTTGGCTTTTCAAGGGAAGGAGGAACTGGGTATTGGAAGAGAGCAGCTGGGGATAAGCCCTGCTGTGGAGACAGACTGCCAGGACTGGACAGTACTGTCTGTGGGGACATTAAAGGGGTTTTTAACAGAATGAGATTTAATTCTTTGGCTGGGACCTAGGAGTAAAGTAACTAGCTTTGTTCATTGCTGGACTAAGCTGTTTAAAAAAAAAAAACAAAACCTGAAGCTTAGTGTCCTAGGGCAACTCTGTCATGAGAAGGCACAGGTAAGGGGGCTGGGGATTCCAGACAAGTGTCAGAGCCTTTGGAATATACCTATTACCTGTTGGAAATGAGAGAATGTGGGAAACCACCTAGACAGGTGAAATGGGAAAAGGGTGAGTGGAAGAAAGAACAACTTATGTATGTAGTGGTGGGAGCAGCTCAGGGTGAGGCTCTGTGCCTAAAGTGTAGGTGTGGAACCTTCCTTTGGGGTGTGGCAGTGTTCACAGTGGGGAATTTTGTTGTTCAAGATAGAAAACCAGTGGGAGGGGAAGAATGGGGATGCCACTGGTAGCCTAAGTGAAAAGATCCACTGGGTCCAACAGTCAGGTGGCAACAGGTTGGCATTGTTTCTTTTTAAATAAGGAGAGGCCAGAATGTTCCTATTTTTCACAATGGGGCAGACGCTGCTTTCTGTTTCATATTTCAGAAAAGGCTCCGCTGGTGGCCCAGGGCTGATTGGCTGCTGGGTAGCTCCTGGCCATAGCACCACAGGCCCTATTTCTTTTGGTCAAGGCAGCCCTTAGTTACTTTGCTTCAAGAAGGAAAAATTCCTTTTTTTTTATTTTCTGAGATGAGTCTATTCTCTCTAAAGCCCCATGAAAACAAGACACTTCCCGTGCATTGGTCAAGTGTGGGATGAGGGCCCCATTGTATAGACAGTATGGTGTAATGAAAAGAGCAAATGGATTTGCAGTCAGATGACTTGTATTAGATAAATGGTTCTGCTCTTTACTACCTGTGAGACTTTAGACAAGTCATGTATCCTCTCTAGGCCTCAGTTTCTTCTTCTGGAAAATGAGGAGGTTGGCCTACATGATCTCTAAGGCTCTATACAGCTCTAAATCCTGAGATCTTATGGATTATGCTGTGACCATTATCCTTCCTTCTGTCCTGAGTTGCAGTAACTCCTCAGTGCAGGGGGGAAGCTGGTGGCCTTCCTCTGCTGGGGAAAAAGAGGGAGACTTGGGCAATAAGCAAGAGTGGTGCTCAGTGGTTACTGCCTGTGTGGTGTCAGTTTGTGACTGTGTGTGTGTGTGTGTGTGTGTGTGTGTGTATTTGGAAAGGAGAGAGGCTGTGCAATTGCTCACCCACCTGATCCACACTGCATGGTTTTTATCCTCCCCTCCCCAAAACAGATGCTGTCGCTGCATTTGAAATATGCTGTTGCACTTATAAACCAAATTGCTTTTCATGCTTTAAAATTTGGCTCTTCGGTCTCGGCAATCTCTGCTCCTGTTGCCATGAAGACTTGTCCCACCCAACCTACAGTTTCCTAGAGCACATCCTTTCCTAGATGTCTAAGGGGGTCCATTGAGAGTATGGCAGATTCCTAGAGGATTTGTTGGAATGGCCATTTGCAGTGCTAGGAAGTCATGGGCATTTCATTATTTGCATGGCACATGGAATTTATCTGAGTTGTTGTAAATGTTGCAGCATTTGCCATATGTGGAATGTGAGTTTGTTAACCTTCCAGCCTGATGAGTTTAGATGAAGTTTTGGTTTTTTGGAAATAGTCTGGAATAGAAAGCAGGAAGGTGAGATCTTTGCTACAGAGAGGCAAAAAGGTCCTGAACTACTTTACTGGGCAGTTGACTAGGAAGGGAAAGATTTTCCAGATAAAATGCTAATGTTCCCAGGTTTAGCTTTTACTTTGGGTTGGAAATGCTGATTCTTCTTCAGAATGGGGGCAAACCAGAGGCAGAATCCAGACTTTATCAGACTCATTGCAAGGAGAAGGGAGGTACATATCCCTTGGAGTTTCTATTTCTAATTGAACTAGCACTGGCTGAGACCATTCTTCTCCATCCTTCCTAGCTCCATTCACACTTTAAGGTCATAGAATCCAGCCTTTCTAAGTGGGGCTCTTCCTTTGTTGTCCATTCCAAGGTGAATCCAATGTCCCTCTTCCTCTGTACCAGCTGTAAATGACCTGGGTTAGGGTTCTGAGTGATGACTGCTCCCCAGACTGCCACTAAGATTGTTATAGTTAAGGAAATTCATCTTATGGCATTCATGATCCCTTAAGAGGCAGATTTTTTGGATCTTTTGAAGAGGTTCTGGCATCAGAGAGATATGTCAGTACATAAGCTACTAGATCAAAGACCTTCCCAAAACAAGTGATTGCCACTAGCCAGCCAAGGGCATGGACTTTCTAGCTGATTAGGTATCTCTGGATGGGCCACTAGGGTTGGTATCTGTGGTTCTTCTTCTGATACTCAATGCTTAGAGATAAGCCATGGAAAGGAACTTGACTTTCATTGGGTCCTGTGCCCTACTGAGTGATAGTGGAATGGCCTGAAGTCATCATGCCTTTGTAACTATTTGATAGAAGGGCTCCAGGCTTCATAGGACTCTTCAAGATTGGTTGTTTAGTCTCCTGGAGGGCCCAAGAATGTCTTTCCATAGGTTCAGGTATGGATGCATGTATAGAGAAATTCTGAGGTTAACGATTGACCTTCTCTGACCTTGAGATGGTTAGACAGGGCCACACGTAGCAAAAAAAAAATGTGTTATTCCACTGAAGTACAAACTAGCATGAGGTGACCCACAGTCCTTGGGTTTTGGTGGGAAACTCTCTTATTACATAGATCTTGACTCCCTCAACCCTACTGAGAAGTGGGCAGGACAGCTGGCTTTCTCACTGTTTGGAAGAGGCTGGGTCTTCCTTTCCTTGAGTCCCTTTTTCAATTTTCTCAGTGATTCTAGGAACTGTTTGCTACTATTAGCTTCCTTCTCATTGGTCAGGCCCTTCCATTCATCTCTCTGTCTTCTGGCCTGGTACGGATTCCCATCT